CTTTTTTTTTTTGAACATATGGGAATTTGGGGGATAAAGGATTTTTTTTTAAGCCATTAATAGGAATCAAACTTTTGATTAATTAAACCTAAATATTAAGATTTGAAAACAAATCATGAAACCAAACATCTTATTTATAACTATAACAATTTTTTTAGATTGGTTACATAACAGAAGGTAACATTCTTTCATCATTTATTTCACTCTATTCGCATATTATAAAACACAAATTTAAACTTTCTTACTTTCAACAAAAAAAAATATTACTATTGAACTATTTAATTTGTTTATGGTCACTATAACATTTTAGTTCTCTATTAGTCATCAATGCCCATCTTAATCTGCAGCGTAATCCGAGAAATGAACGTGAAAAGATCAGCTAAACACGTTGTCTGTCGTTTCGCATAAAAAGGGTTACAAAAACGACAGCCCATGCAGTACATTCATGCACGGAAGTCCCCATCAGATTTTCCAAAAAAACCAGCCAACGGAAATTCGGTCAGAATCCCAAATTTATTTTGATATCGGAGAAATGGGTAGTAATAAAATCGAGCATTTATGATCCGTCACATGCCGCCATTAATGCTCTCCACCAATTTACCTCCACCATTCCCCAAAACCCTAATAATGCTCGCCACCAGCCGTTGCAAAAGCTAAGGAATCTCCAAATTCCGCCTATGGAAACAATGAGACCCTCTTGGGGGAAGTTGGGGGTTGTGGATACCATCTACGAGGAAGAAGATTATGACCGCCGCTCCTCCTCCTCTTCCTCCCCTTCTCTCTCCCGTTCCCTCTCTTCCCCTGCCTCGCCGCTGGATTCTAGAATCGAGGCTTGGTATTTCTCTAAAAAAACCTCTCTCTGTTTTTTTTCTTTTTTTAATATACATTTCAATTTCATTATGGTTTAATAATAATATTTATGTTATGAATTTTTTTGGGAATTGCCAATTAAATTAGGTCACTGACTACGGGGCGGAAGACTGATGTGTTGATTCATGTTCAGGGGACATCTTTCCGTCTGCACAAGGTATCAGTTTAATGCATTATCTGATGTACAGTGTTTCAAGTTTTTATGCTCTGTTTGGGTGAAATAATGGGCAGAATTGGGTATTCCTTAGTTTTTCTCAAGATTTAACCAGCATAAAATGTGCTGGATTTAGATGGAAGTGATATTGGGAAAGAGAAGTTTGAGGGGAATTCTTTTGGAATGGAGGAAGAAGCTATGTTGAGAAACTTTCTGCGGTTTCATTTCCCAAAATCTAGATTTGGGAAATCAAAGTGCACTCAAATTCAGAATTGCTAACCTTTGTTTTCTATTCTGGTATGGTTCATTTTTTATTGGCAAAAAGGAAAGGTTGAATTGGGGTTTTGGTACTTTCGAGAGATCTAATGCCTTTCAAAATTGCTAATTTGTTATGCATAACTACTGCAGTTCTTATTTGATCAAAAGCCCTATTTCTTTAGATTTGAAAATTTTAGTATACCAGAACTTGAAATCCATTAGGGATTTCAGTATCCAACAAAGAAAATTTTCATCTTCATCTCTTTCTTTTTATCCAAATTTTCATCCTTATCTAATTGCATGTTTCACGTTTAGAAGTATTTCCTTCTAATGTTACACGTTTTCTCAGCGGTTTCTTAAATTCAAAAGTTATTTTCAGGAAAAAAATGACTAAAAACGATTGAAAATGACTCAAATTCCCTTTCAATAATCATTTGAAACTTAATAGTGTTTGAAACAATTATATCATTTTGAGGCATATGGAAATATTAGCGAATTATAAAATATTAATTATTAAATAAAAATATTTTTTAATTAAAAATTAATATTTTATAATATGTTACGATGCCCCCCATAAAATGGTTTTTGTTTTTAAAAACTTGAACTCCCAAGAAAACGAAGTGTTATATGTGTTTTAGTGCTGCAATTAGTGGTTAATTATTAGCGCCATTTATTATGTTCATCTTCCTCTGTTTTTTTCTCCATAGGATCCTCTGTCATCAAGGAGCATCTATTTAAGACGGAAGCTAACTGATCAATCTGAAATAACGCTCTCTCCTCCGTTAAACATAACGGCCGAAACGTTCTCTCTTGTGGCCGACTTCTGTTACGGGACCGGCCTCGCCTTAACTCCGTTCAATGTCGCCCCGCTACGCTTAGCTTCAGAGCTCCTGCAAATGACCGAGACGGCGGGAGAAGGCGACGAAAACTTGAAGCAGATAACGGAGTCGTACTTCCGCCGCATTCTGGCAGTAAACGGAGAATACGCTTCGATTGTTTTCAAGTCTTGCCTAGCTCTGCTGCCGGAGGCCGAAACGACGGGGTTTCTGATCAGCAGATGTGTGGAGGCGTTGTGTTTGACGGAAGATGGAGACGGCGTCGAATGTTGTCTCGACGACGTTTTGTCTTTGCACGCCGAGGATTTCAAAATTGTGGCGGAGTCAATGAACCAACGGCTCGCGCGCCACGATGTGCTTTACCGGATCGTTGACTTTTACTTCGAGGTAAGTCATAAAAACAGCAAAGACGTGTCCTAAATAGGGTTAGTTTGGTCATTTAGATGGTTAATGGAGGGGCATTTATGCAAAAGAAGTTCATCTTCTTCCTCTCGCAGGAACACAATGCCAAAATTACAGAGGCGCAGAAAACGCAGATATGCAATTCCATCGACTGCAACAAGCTTTCGCCTCAGATTCTCCTTCATGTAGTCCAGAACCCCAGAATGCCATTGAGATTCATCGTCCGAGCTATGTTAGTGGAGCAGCTCAACACCCGCCGCTCCATTTTCTCAGCTGCTAACCACAAATCTCGGAGTCATCGCCGTCAGCCTAGCAGAGAGATAATCACCCTGGGTGCCATCCTCCAGCGAGACGCAGCCATGCGTGAAGCAGCTCAACTCAAGGAAGCAATGACAGCCACCAGTTCCCGCATAGAGGACCTGGAAAAGCAGGTGCAGGGCATGAAGATTCTTCTGCAAGATACCGAGCAGGAAAGAGAGAGACCGGTCGATCGGTCAAGAAACTTTTTGGATTCTCAAAGGTCTATTAGTTTCCATTATGGTTCCGAGAATAAGATAGAAATAGAGCATCATAGAGCAGCCGGGTCGGCGAGTTTCAGGTTACCGGGACGGGAAGCAGCAGGGTCTTCTTTAGAGAATTCATGTGATGATATGAGTACTCCAAGAACGAAGAAGAATATCGCACAGAGGTTGATTAAGGGGTTGAGGAGTGCGTTATGGAAATCAAATTCTGGAACGAAGCAGGAACCGGCTAAGGCTAAAATTTCTAGCAGAGAAGATGCAAGAAGGGTTAGGGTTGGAGAAAATGGGTCTTTCCATCGGAACCAAAGATGTTCTACCCTGGCCAAAGAAGGGGCATCTCCACCGTCCATTTGGGATTTTGATTGATAAATAGGAGTACAAGTGTGGAAATGATCATGGCTCTTGAGAGTTGTGGGCTATTTCATAAGTTCTGGCTAGAAGAAGAAGGATGAGTTATGATCAAGGGAAGCCATCTCATTTGAAACTTTGGGTATTTCTTGATCTCATCCTTCTTAAACATCCAGATGTAAGGAGATTTCAGAAAATATGAAATGCAGACATCAGGAATATGTTTACATAGGCATTATGTGCTTAAGGTGTATCTAACACCAAATTGGGATTTTTGATCACGTACATTAGATTGATATTGTGTGCTACAATTTCCCAACCAGCCGGAGAATTTTATATATAAC